CTTCCCGACACGCCTAATTGCTCTGAGCCCCTGTGCCCTCTGACATCTCCCTGCCACCCCCCCGCAGGGTGCTGAGTGCCCGCACTGCTCCGCTTTTGCATTTCCCTCCCTACAAAGGGCCTCATGGCACACTGGTGGGCTCTGGGCATGCTCTGCCCGGTCCCCGCCGGTGTCCCAGTCCGTGGTGTTATCTCTGCACTCATCCAGGTGAAACGACGCTCGAAGCGGGGGCAGGTGGGCACCTTGCAGGTCGGTGTGGAGACCTATGGAGGCGGCATCTGGAATACCTGGTTTGACCGTGACCTCACTGTGGCAGGAAGGGTGATCATAAAGGTGAGCCCGGCTTGGGGTAGGGACGGTGGCTTGGCTGTGGAGTAGGACATGCTGCTACTCCTGTGACCTCCCAGTCCTGCAGACCTGGCCCAGCAAGGCAGCTTAGCAGTCCTGCTGGTATTTCAGGAGCCGAACACGGGGCGCCTGGAGCAGCGACTGGTGTGCGTGGAACGGCCCATTCTCCGCATCCCCCATCTGGCCATCCATCTGCAGCGCAGCATCAATGAGAACTTCGGACCCAACACTGAACATCACCTGTAAGGCCTGGCTCAGCTCTCCCAGCTGGAGCAGTGCCCAGCCCCAGTTCTCAACCTGTAGCAGCTGCTGATTACAATGGCTTAACTCATAGTGGAGGGCTTGGGGAAGAGCACTGGGGTGTCCTAGGGTGGCACAATAGGTCTGTGCTTAAAGTTTAGTGTGTCCTTACTCCATTCAGCATGGCAGTCAGTCCCCAAGGGGTGAGCAATGCCCTGGAGCTGCTGCCACTGTCTCCCCGCAGGGTTCCCATTCTGGCTACTGCTGTGCAGGAGGAGCTGGAAAAAGAGCCAGCCACAGAGCACACAGCTGGTGTTGCCACAGCCCAGGTGAGTAGGTTGCCAAGAACAGTGGGGGACTGACTACGGTCTCCCATGTGCCATCTTTTGATCTCTTGTCCTCATGGCTCCCTGCCAGCAAGTTCTTCCCATTCACAGCTACATACTCTCAGTTCCACCCCAGAACCACTTACTCAGCACATGTGCTCCACTGTTCTCTGTTCCCACCCCAACCTGCAGCCATCCTAAAGGAAAGGGAAAGTCCCCCATCAGACTGTCACATATAGACTCCCTTTTCTCTTAGAGGAGGGAGGGGAGGTTGCGCAATGGGCAGAGAGCCCCTCACTATGCCCTGTGAGCACAGCTCAGTGAGGGCTCAGATGCAGAGTGTGTTAATAAGCAGGAAGCCTAGGACTGCAGTGTGAGAAGGGAATGCGAAAGTTTCTCTACTCTCCATCATTTGCACTGCCCACAGCTCTGCTTTTTTCCCAGACAGAGCGGCACAGCCCTGTCCTGCTTTCCCTGCTCTGCTCACAGCTGGGAGTGAAACCAGAGCAGATTGTGGAGCTGGAACTATGCCTGGCAGATACGCAGCCAGCGGTGAGTACAACAGAGCCTCCTTTTACCTGTATGCAACATGCCTGCAGGCTGGCACTGCCCAGTCCCATGCACAGGACGCTTCCTCTGCCTGGGGGACACAAGGCTGAGAGCAGACTGAGAGGAAATGGCTCCTAGGGGGCAAAGGTGTGGACTGGGCTGGGGACACATCCCACCCGCTCTTTGGTGTCTTAAAATCTGTGCCTTACTCCTTGTTTTCTGACTGCAGACTCTTGGTGGTGCCTTTGATGAGTTCATCTTCTCCCCACGCCTGGACAACTTGCACAGCTGCTACTGTGCTCTGCAGGTGAGAGGAGGAGGGAAGGAGCCTTGGGGTTTTGTCATGGCCCTCTTGTGCCTTGACTTTGCTGGTCTGTTAGCTGGTTCCTATGGCAAAGGTATTGGGCCTGGGGTTGGATAGTTGCTGCCCCCTTGTGCCAAGTGTGTGGCATTCCCAGCATCTCTCGAGGGTGATGAATTCTGCTCTCACTGGGCACTGTACCCACAGCTCCTTTTCTTGGTGCCTTGGACTTTCCTGGGGATGTTCCTGCCAGCTTAATGCTGAGCTTCCTTGGATGGGGTGGCACTCAGGCTGGTGCTCTTTCTCCTCCTCTGTCTCTCCAGGCGCTGATAGACTCATGCACAGTTCCTTCCCTCTCCCAGGAGCCCAATGTGCGCCTCATTGCACTCTATGACAACGAGGAGGTGAGGAGCATAGCTGTGGGGTGGCTGGCACACAGAGGGGCTCCGTGTTCTGTGCTCCTTCCACCAATGAATAGAAGGAGTTGCATCCCAACCGCCCATGGAGCACCGTAGGGTTTGCTTACCCCACCACATAGCTTGGGCCTGGCAGGGAGTGGGAACTTCTGATGCAGTTGGAAGCCTCTCTGCTGGGTGTGGGGAGCTTGCTGTCACTCAGCTGGCCTGGAGTGCTGGAAGTGGCTGGGTTGGTACTGGGTGGGTTGTGCTGATGGTCCTCCTGGCAGGTAGGGTCAGAGAGTGCGCAGGGTGCCGAGTCCCTTCTGACAGAGCTGGTGCTGCGTCGAATCTCAGCGTCACCGCAAAACCTGACAGCCTTTGAGGAGGCGGTGGCCAAGTCCTACATGATCAGTGCTGACATGGCCCATGCAGTGCACCCTAACTATGTGTGAGTATTCTGGACCCTGCCACGTTGTATGTGGGGACACATCTTTTGCACTCCTGTTGGCATAGTGGCGGGACAGTTCTTGTAATGGGGAGGCAGGATTGCAGCATGAAACTCCTACGTCTCTTTTGCAGGGACAAGCATGAAGAGAATCATCGTCCAGCCTTCCACAAGGTGAGCACAGCTCTCTGCTTTGCGCCATACCTGGTGCCATCTGTCTGCTCAGCAGCAGCGTGAAACACACAGCCACTGTCCAGAGTGCAACTCAGCAGCAGTTTTACAGGAGACCTTTGTCCTGCCACACAGTGCAGTTGTGCACATTGCTGGAGTTAATTACATGGAACCACAGTCCTATCTGTGGAGATGTTCCCTAGCTTAGAGCTGGGGCTGTTCCCATGGCAAGCATGTCACTCATAGGATCCAGGGGGTGGGACAGCATTTCTGACTACGGGTCTCTCCTGGGCACTGAGCACTTAGAATTCTGTAAGTAATACAGTATATCCCTGTGCCAAACCCCATGTCTTCCCTTTCACAGGGCCCTGTCATCAAAGTGAACAGCAATCAGCGCTACGCCTCCACAGCTGTCACTGAGGCAGTCATCCGGGACATCGCGGCCCGAGTGGGAGTTCCTCTGCAGGTGAGCACAGCTGGGTGAGCACAGCTCCCTGGTGAGTATTACCAGTTCCTGCTGAGGCTGTGTGCTGGAGGGCAGGACCAGTATCAGGAACTTACCTCTCCACTACTGTACCTATGCCTGCTGGTGTCTGTACTGCCCTGCTGTGCCGGGTGTCCTGGCAAGCAAGCTCAAGGGATAGAAGGGAGTGCAGGTCTGGCCTGACCTCACTGAAGCTCTCTGGGGGCTTTGGCATCTTGGCTTACAGACTGTGCAGCTTCCCTGTCCTAGCATGTCTCCCGTTAGGACTAAGCATGGTGGAAGCCACAAGGGAGGCTGTGTGGCACTGGGAGCAGCTGCCAACCCCGTGTGTCCATGCAGGAGTTCATGGTACGCAATGACACGCCATGCGGCACCACCATCGGCCCCATTCTGGCCTCCCGCCTGGGGCTGCGCGTGCTGGACATCGGCTGCCCGCAGCTGGCCATGCACTCCATCCGAGAGATGTGCTGCACCTCGGGGGTGCTGCAGAGCATCACTCTTTTCAAGGTGAGCCGGGTCTCTGCCTGCTGCCCCAAATCCCCACTGCTCTGTGCTCTGCGTCCCCTTCAGCCCTACCTTTTGGGCGGGCTCCCTGCTGCATGGGGGCAGCGCAGCAATACCAGGAGCTTCCGGAAGTGCTTCTTGCCTCTCCGCCATCCATCCCAGCCTTCCCTGGTGACTGCCATCCCCAAATGGTTCCTATGGCAACCAGCGCTAGCCTTGACTCAGTGATGGGTTACTATGGTGACGCGGTCCTGCTCTGTGCAGCAGCTGGCTGCGCTGAGGCTGCACGTAACCCACCGGGAAGCTGCTGCCTGTGCCCCTGCCCCGCACCCTGATGGACCTTCTCCTTTCAGGGCTTCTTTGAGCTCCTGCCGGTGGTCAGCAGCAGCCTGATGGTCGACTGAGTGCGGTGGGAGAACAACTGTGGGATTCATCCCTGATTAAAGCATCTCTGTCTCACCGAGGAGTGGTCTGTGTGTCTGGCTGAGGAGGGGAAGGGACAGCTGGGGATCCTGAAGCTGCTGAGAAGGTTGTCCAGTGGAGGAGTTGGGGTGAAGGATGGCCCTCGGAGCTGTTGCTGTCCCCAAGGCCCTGACGGGACTGTAGGTGGGCTGGGGCCAGCCCTGAGTTCCTGCCTTGCACATCTGCTAGCCTCAGCTGGAACAAAGCTCCAGCTTTGTCCAGTCCCTCTGTGCCCCTACCCCAGGAAGGGCCCTGAGGAGTCACTTTGGAATGCTGGACCCACGGCTGGGGATGCCTCTCCTGGTTTCCCGAAAGCTGGCTCTGGCGGGCAGGGTGTGAGGGTGTGCTCTGGTGCTCGCTGCCCATTGACTAGGGCGCAGAGGCGAGGCCCAGGCGGGAGCCAGTACGGCTGCAGGGCGGGCAAGGGACGGCCGTTGATTGGCGGCTGCATGCTTGCGCGATGACGCCCCCTAGGGGCGGAGTTTGTCTCGAGGGAGGTCGTGATTGGCGCCCTGCTCTGCCGTCTCTCCCCGGAACGCGGCGTCATTGGCCTCGCTCTACCGGAGGGGGGCGTCAGCATAAAACGGGGGGGGGGGGGGGGGGGATAGTTCGGGGCGGCCACCGGTTGGCTGGCGTGCGGGGGGGGGGGGGCGGGGCGGCGGCGGGGCGGGCGCCTTGGGGGGGGGGGCGGGGGGGGGGGGGGCGCGCGGCGGGGCGCGGGTTGGCGGCAGCGGGGGCGCGGCCGGTGGGTGCGCCATGGTGCGGCCGTGAGCGGAGCATGGGGCGGCGGCTGCTCCGGGCTCTTCTCTGCCTCCTCCTCGTGGCCGGCCGCGGGCTGCTGCGAGTCAGAGGGGCCACCGCCGCGCACGGTGAGAGAGTGGGGCTCCGGGAGGGACGGCGGCACCGCCCGGCCGGCGTTCCCGAGGCTATCGGGTGGGGCGGCGGGATGCCGTAGGGCGGGGGATGAGCGCTATGGTGCCGTCACGACGCGGCGGGTCCGGCCCCGGTAACGGGAGAGCGGCGTCGTGCGTCACCCGCCCCAGGGGCGCCTCTGCCTGGGCTGCTGGCTGGTGAAGGGGATGCCCCTGGGCTTTCTGCTAGCTGCGGAGTTGCAGCGCCTGGCAGGACGGAACGGGAGCAGGGCAATGCTCTTCCGGACACCTAGCCTGGCGGGTGCTGCGGGGCCCGGCTCCGAGGTACAGCCGCGAGAATGGGGACCGGGGCAGCGTCACCGCGCGGTGGCTTCCTGCGGGACCCCGGTACCCTTTAGCTGCCCTCCGCCGGCAGGTGCGGCCCGGGACCCGGAGCGAGCCGGTATGCTCTCTGAACGCTCCAGCTCTGCCCGCATCTCCATTCCCGGAGCTCTGGGGGTACCGGGGGCCCTTACCGGCAGCAGGGCTGCAGCCCCCCCGCACGGGCCTGGCGGCCGCTGACTCACTGCCGGTAGGCAGGTGCCGCTCCGTCCATCCGCTCCCGGGCAGCGGATCCCTGCAGTCACGCAGCTGAGAAGGGGAATACCGTCACCCGCTCCCCGGGGCCGCGCCGCGCAGTCCTGCCATCCCCGGGAGCCGTTGCGGCCGAGCCCTGCCCGGCCCAGGCTTCCTCTCCGGTGCGGAGTGGGACTGCCCGGCGGGACGCGGCTCCGTCTCTTTAGCACCACGGACAGCGCCCGGCCCGCCGCCCGGTCCCGGCGCCCGCGGCCCGGAGCCCCCCAGCGCCACCCGCGCTTCCCTACGCCCCGCGCCTCCTTCCACTCCCACCCTGGGGAGCTGGCGGGGGGCAGCCCGCGGGTACCCGCGTTCTGGGGACCCCTCCCCACTTGCCCCGGCGCGGACTCAGCGGGCCCCTCCCTCCCCTCCCCCCCGGTTGTTTTCTCGTTCCTTCCTCGCCATCCGGGGCTGAGTCATCGCTTGCTGCCGTCTCGCTGCTGACGGTCTTGGACCGAGATGCGGGGGGAGGAAGGGGGATGCTGCCCCCCAAAAGGGGTGGGGACCTCATCACACTGCTGCGTATGCGCCTTGGGGGCCCCCCGTGCTGCGAAAGCGGGTCCCCCCATGTTGCAAGGTGCAGGGCCGTGCCCTCGTCTGGTAGTGTCACATGTGGGAGGGTGAGAGACGATCCCGCAGCTCGCTGTCCCCCTGGCTTTCCCTTCCCCACTGCCAGCACCCCGCAAAGCTCCAGACTCCCCCTTTCCAGAGCCAGGAACAGGCTGTGCTCAGGGCCCACTGCTCAGCTTTGGGGATAAGGAAGGCTGCACTGAGGCCCTGCCCTGGGCTCCCCCACAGCCACCACACTGCACCCCCTGGCACTTCCATGCAGAGTAGAGTCCCCAAGCAGGTGACTGCCTTACCAGTGATGAGCAAACCCCATTCAGCCCCCCTTGCTGACTGTGCTGGGTCTGTCTGTCTGTCTGCCCCAGGCTGCCTGTTTGACCGGAGGCTGTGCTCCCCGCAGGAGGTGTGTGTGCAGGGTGAGTGCCTACAGAAGAGCTCCTGATCCTGCTCTATCTGAGGTGGTGCCTTATGGCGAGCAGGAGGGAAGGGTGCAGGTGGGGCTGTTCCACCCCAGCTGTGTTCATTACTCCTCCCTACCGCCCCCCTCTCTTGCAGATGGGCTGTTCGGGCAGTGCCAGGTGGGCTCGGTGCAGGACAGGCCTCACTTTCAGGTCACCTCCCCCGTGCTGCAGCGCTTACAGGATGTCCTGCGGCACCTCATGGCACAAGGTGAGGGCTAGGGAGGCATAACCATGGGCTGGGCAGCATCACACAGAGGCACCACGGGTAGCAGGGATATTTGAGATCCCACTGGTTGGGAACTGCTCTGGGGTGAGGAGGGACTCATCTGGCTCTGGAAGGAACAGGGATGACCTCAAGCAAAGGGTAGCTCCCCACCCCCAACATCTCATGGCCCCCCTCCACCACAGGGCTCTCATGGCAGGATGGCATCACGCAGTACGTAATCTCACAGGAGATGGAGCGCATCCCCCGGCTCCACCCACCATCCTCGCTGGAGTCCTCACCCAGGGACAGGTAGGGCAGGGTGGAGTGGGGGGCACAGCAGGGCTGGAAAGCTGTGCCCGGGTGCCATCCCTCACTGCTTGTCCCAAGGTCCCTGTCTGCACGCAGCTCCCCCCGGCGCACCCCACTGCCTATGGCCTCCAGCCTGCCTGCAGCCCAGCACCCAGGGCAGCCCCCACATCTGCTGCCCTCAGGCCTGGCTCAGCGCTACCTGGAGCACCTGCTGCTGCCCCCACCACCCCAGCTGGACTACGAGGAGGCTCTGCTGCATCCCTACTCCTACCACAAGGTACATGGGAGGGGGAGGATCCTCTCACAACCTCTTCTCCCTATGCTGGGATGTACAGTGGGTGCTGATCTGAGGCTGTGGTTTGATTGCAGTTTGGCTACCAGGATACCACACACCAGCTCCCAGGCAGTGCGGCCAGGCAGGGCCCCGATGCTGCCTCGCTGCTGGTCCGCGGCCTGTATGGGGCTGGCCCCATGCCTTCCTACAGCGGGCAGCCAGGGGCAGAAAGTGGGCACCTCTTCCAGGATCTGGGCCTGCTTGCGTTGCCCAGGGAAAAAGCTGCTCGCATGGACCCGGCCAGCACCAGACCCTTGCACAGTGCGCGCCTCCCAGGTGACTACAGGGATGTGGGGCAGCAGGATCAGGCAGCAGCCGTGGCTGCCCGGCCATCCCCTGCACAGACAGGTACGCATTCCCTGAGCTTGGGGCTCTCCATCTCATTTGCCGTCCATCCCCAAAATCCCCAACCCACAGCCCCACCTGGGTGCAGAGCTCTCACCAATTGCCACATTCCCTTGCAGATGCCTCCTTGAAGAGACTGGCCTCCCTGCTGGCTAGCTACGGGCTGGGGCTGCCCGAGCTCAGTCCCCAGCAGCTCAGCAGTCTCTCTGCCCTTCTGCAGCTGCTGCAGAGCTCCAGTGAGCGGGATGCAGGGTCCCACAGTGCTGGGTGTGGGGTGCTTGCCTTCCTTTGGAATCCCCATCCTTCTCTTTCCCAGGTGCTGCCAGCCCTGAAGCACCCACAGCAAAGCGACTCAGTGCTCAGCAGGGAGCTGCTGGGCCACAGGTGGGCTGTGTGTGTGTGGGAAGGGAGTGTAGCCTCCCTGGGGGGACTCGTCGGGGATCCCAGAACCTCCCTGTCTCCCATCTATAGGTGTCAGAGGGGGACATGCAGCATGGAGAGGAGCCAGTGCCACCCTCCTCCGCAGTGCCACCTCCCAGGGTCACAGCCAGCAGTGCCCCAGCACAGGGGCTGGGGGACCGGGTAGCCACCTCGCCAGCCCCCCAAGCCCAGCCACAGATGGGGCATGGAGGGGACAAGATGATGGTGGTGGAGAAGAAGAGCTACACAGAGGTGAAGGACAGCGGTGGGGTGCAGCGGGGCACACGGCCACCCGATGAGTATGGCTACATCATCACGGACCAGAAGTGAGAGTGGGGCCAGGGCACTGCACAGACCTCATCCCCAGCACTGGAGCCATGTGCCCACCTCACCCCACCTTGTTCCTGCAGGCCGCTGGGGCTGGCTGCTGGCGTGCGGCTGCTGGAGCTCCTGGCCAAGCGCGTACACCTCTCCACCACCAGCTTCATCAACATCAGGTGAGGGCAACACGGTGCTGCCTGGGGATGGGATAGGATGGGCTCTGTGCCCTGCTCTCATCCTGTGTCCCCCCCAGTGTCGTGGGGCCTGCGCTCACCTTCCGCGTGCGGCACAACGCCCAGAACCTCTCACTGGCAGATGTGGCCAGCCGGGCTGGTGAGTGCTCAGGTTGGGATCCTCCTACACACCTGTTTTCCCCTCTTCTTCAGGGACTGAGAGGGGGAGTGGGTGTCAGCAAGAGAGGGCTCCTACCATACATCCCTGTGCTGCTGGTTGAGCTGGGGACCTGGGGCATGGTGGGGTGTGCTTGGACTCCTGGAGTTTCCTTGGCCAAGAGAAAGCACCCCACTGACTGTCTTGTCCCTGTCTGCAGAGCAAATGAAAGCAGAGCTGGAGGCTGAGCTGGGCCTGAAGATTGTGCAGACGGGAGTGGGAGAGGTAAGACCATAGCATGGGGACTTAAGGCTGGGATGGGGCTGCAGGGAACTGGAAGCTGTGGGATCTGCAGGTGGTGCTGGGGACACTGATGGCCCCACATGAGGCTCTGAGGACAGGGATAGGAACGGAGCCTATGTTAACAGCTGGGGAATGGCACATGAGGCTTTATGTTGGGAGCATTCTGTTCACACCCCGCAGCATGATGCTACCTGTAGGTTTGGGGCACTTAGCTCTTAGTAAAACACAAGCCCATGGGGTCTGAAGGCATTTTGGGAGGATGTCCCCCTGCATCCAGGACTTGGCTCATGCCCAGCCTCACTTACCTTCAGTCTCTATTCATGGCCTGCGCACGCCAGCCCTGTGCTAAGCACCCTGGGGACCAGACAGGGAAAATGCCATCATCCCTGCAGGGAGCAGCGTGGCAGCTGGAGGCAGGGATGGAGCAGCAGCCATCTGCTGGGAGAGAGCCTCCCTCCCGTGCTCCTGTGGGCCACGGGAGCCATCCCATGGGGGACAGGGATAGGAACGGAGCCTATGTTAACAGCTGGGGAATGGCACAGCAAACCCCTGGGCCAGGGTCCCTATTCCCCCCCTCTTGCCCTGGGGACACCGGAAGGGGGAAGGCCACTAAGGCAACTCCATCAGCCCCATGCACAGTGTCACGATGGCAGTGCCTTTTGGTGTGACAAGTGGCAGGAGCCAGGAGGGAGGGGATCTGCAGCCCTAATGAGTGCTTCTCTAATGAGCAGGACCCCCCAAAGGGAGTTGTTTGCACTGAGGGGTGAGCTCCTTGTGCTGAACACCCCCAGGACAGGGGACAGCAAGGGCTGGGCCTGGCACTGCCCCAGCAATGGGGGCAGACGGCAGGGACATCCCCAGGCAGCGTAGGCAATGATGATGATGATGATAATGATGACGCAGCATCCCCTTGGTAACCTCATCAGGCCCGTGGCCAATGGGAAGCCGAGGCAGTGAGGTAATGTAGGGCTTTAGCATCTCATTGGGTGCAGAGTATTTGGTGGTGGGGCTGCCCTAGCATCCTTCCCACCCCTGGCTCTGGGGAAGGACCCTGGCAGGCTTGGTCTTGGGGGTCTCGGTCTCATCCAGTGAGGGCTCAGCACCCTCCTGTCCCAGCATGGGGGCTGAAAGGCTGAGAAGGATCTGGGGTTCAAGTTCTTGGGTTGAGTCAGGCAGGAGCTCACTGAGCTGAGGCTCTGAGGGCCCCCACCTGCCCTGCAGCCTAGCAGGGCTGGGAGGCAGTCCCTGGTACTGGGAGCAGCAGGTGGCTGCTGCTTGGGCTTCTCCAAGCTGTGCACTTCCTGCATCCCAGAGGGCAGGGCTGTGAGCTGTGCTAAGTGCAGACACAAGTGCCCCTCTCAGGGACACCAGCTCTGCTCCCAATGAGCTGAGGAGCGGCACAGCTCCAAGCATCCTCCCTCTGCTTTAGCCCCCACATCTTCAAACGCAGTGTGGGATGGGTTCTGTCCCTGCACCCCTCCCTGTGCAGATGCCTCACTCTAACCCTTGCTTGGTCCTGCCTGCAGCGGAACGAGGCGGCTGTGTACCCACACCCCTCTCACTTTGGGGATGGCTTCCACTCAGTGCTTCTCACCTTCATCGCTCTGGCCTGCGTGGCTGGTGTCTCCATCGCAGCTGCTGCAGCCTTCTGCCTCCGGCAGCACGCCAGGCAGCGGGAGAAGGAGCGCCTGGCTGCCCTGGGGCCCGAGGGGGCTGCCGATACCACCTTGGAGTACCAGGTAGGGATGTGGGATGCTGCATCCGCATGGCTGCAGGTACAGGTGGGGCCCTGTGGCTGAGTACTGGGGCTCTGCTTGCTGTCCCCAGGAGCTGTGCCGTCAGCACATGGCCACCAAGTCACTCTTTGGCCGTGCTGAGGCCCCTGCAGCAGCAGCAGAGACGTCGCGAGTGAGCAGTGTCTCGTCGCAGTTCAGCGATGCCCCACAGCCCAGTCCCAGCTCACACAGCAGCACGCCGTCCTGGTGTGAGGAGCCTGTCCAGTCCAACATGGACATCTCCACTGGGCACATGATCTTGGTGAGCCCCCCTGGTGGGCTGTGGCCCCCAAGGCTCCTCCCGGTGCCAGGCTGACCCCTCTCTCTGCATTCCAGGCATACATGGAGGACCACCTCCGCAACAGGGACCGGCTGGCCAAGGAGTGGCAGGCGCTCTGTGCCTACCAGGCTGAGCCCAGCATCTGCTCTGTCGCCCAAAGTGAAGCCAATCTGAAGAAGAATCGCAACCCAGACTACGTGCCCTGTGAGCATCCCAGGACTGTGGTGCGGGGCACAGGGATGTTGGAGGTGCTATATGGAGTGCTGCCCCCAGTGCTCACTGCCTCCCTTGCGCTCCTCTTCCCCAGATGATCACGTGAGGATCAAGCTGAAAGCCGAGAGCAACCCGTCCCGCAGCGACTTCATCAATGCCAGCCCGATCGTGAGTGATAGCTGGGGTCCCCTCTGGCTCCAGGGGCAGCAGGAGCTCACTTTCAGCTCCACTGCCCCTAGGGCATCCCCTATTCCTCCTGCTGTCACACACCTCCCGGCCCACTGACACGCAGTGTGACAACCCTTTCCCCCTCCAGATCGAGCACGACCCGCGGATGCCGGCTTACATCGCCACGCAGGGGCCGTTGTCCCACACCATCGCTGACTTCTGGCAGGTGAGTGTCACCCAGCTGTGCCAGCATCTGGTGACAGGGATGTGCCCCGTGCAGCTCTGGAGCTCCTGCATCCCGGTGACACTCGCTGTGGTCCAGATGGGTCACGGCAGCTCGGCCACCGCACCTGGGCTGTCACCCAGCAGTGACAGCGGTGGCGTTTGGCGTGCAGATGGTGTGGGAGCACGGCTGCACTGTCATCGTCATGCTGAGCCCGCTGGCTGAGGACAGCGTCAAGCAGTGCGACCGCTACTGGCCGGACGAAGGCTCCTCGCTGTACCACATCTACGAGGCGAGTGCGGGCTGGCAGCAGGGAGCACCTCGCAGTCCCCGTGCCGGGGGCACCGCGAGCATCGCCCCGCTCCAGTGTGCGGAGCGGAGCTGCTCAGGGTCCGCTGCTCGGTGCTGACATCGCGGGCCGACCCTTCTCCGGGCAGGTGAACCTGGTGTCGGAGCACATCTGGTGCGAGGACTTCCTGGTGCGCAGCTTCTACCTAAAGAACGTGCAGTCTCAGGAGACCCGCACCCTGACGCAGTTCCACTTCCTCAGCTGGCCGGCCGAGGGCATCCCCGCCACCACCCGGCCCCTCCTCGACTTCCGCAGGTGGGTGCCAGCGCCGGGAGGGGGCACAGCGGGCTCTGAGCGGGGCCGGGCAAGGCTCGACTTGGGGGGTGGGAGCCGGCGGTGGCCCTGCTGGCGGGTCTCCTATCCGCCCCGCTCCTGCGCTCTGTCTCTGTCCCTGTCTCGCAGCTGCCGGCGTCATTTTTGTGATTTGCAGCTAGTAATCTGGCTCCAGTTGCATAGTCACAAAAGTGATCGTTGGCAGCCGTGCCTGCCGCACGGAGCGTGCCGGGAGCCCAGCCAGGCCGGACCGCAGCCATCCCCGCCAGCGCCGCTCCCCCGGGGACTCCCGCTCCCGGCCCACGCTGGGAGGCGGCAGGAGCCCCGCACCGGACCCCGGTGCCCCCTCTCAGCGCAGCCCGACCCAAGCAGGCGCTGACCCGGTGCCTCTTGTCCTTGCAGGAAGGTGAACAAGTGCTACCGGGGCCGCTCCTGCCCTATCATTGTGCACTGCAGGTACCGCAGCGGGGGGGTCGTGGCTGGGGGCTGTGAGGCGAGGGCCGGGCCTGCACCCCCGACACTTCTCCGCGTCTTCCAGTGACGGCGCAGGCAGGACCGGGACCTACATCCTCGTCGACATGGTCCTGAACCGCATGGCCAAAGGTACGGCGTGCACCACGCGCGCTGGGAATGCGGCGGTGGGCTCGGCCCTCAGCTTCCTCGTGTCCCCGCACTAGGTGTGAAGGAGATCGATATCGCTGCGACGCTGGAGCACATCCGCGACCAGCGGCCCGGCATGGTGCAGACTAAGGTACCCCTAGCCCCGCCGTGCCGGCAGGCCCTGCTGCCCCCACCCCGAGCAGGGGCTGCTCCAGCCTCACCCCGTTCCGCCCCCCCAGGACCAGTTTGAGTTCGCTCTGACCGCCGTGGCTGAGGAGGTGAACGCCATCCTGAAGGCTCTGCCGCAGTGATGACGAGGATCCCCTGCCCTTCCCTCTCGTTTCCCTGCCACCCCCTGCCCTCTGGCTTCGAGCGCGCTCCTGGCCCTGTAAATGCTGTCTGTGCTGCTGGCTCTGTTTTTTTTCCCACCCCTCTCCTTGGGCTGCAGGGCTCAGCCCTCTACATGCCCCGTGGCATGCAGCCCCTTTGCTCCTGCTGCTGCAGTGAAGAGCGGGCTCCTGTCCCCTGCGGCGGAGGGGAAGGGCAGTGATGCTGGGAGAGTGGCCGTGGGGATCCCCTGGCTGCTCTCCCACCCCTGTCCCTATGCCCAAGAGGGGATAGGAGTGGGCGCGGGTCGTGGCCCTGCCCTGTCTTCTCTGTGTCACCCCCACCTTGTCACTCAAGCAGAAGATAAATTTCTAGAGAAATATAATTTTGTATCTTGATGTGAATAAAGTTCTTGTGTCATGTTTGTGCAGCTGCAGCTGGGCTTGGCCTCTCTCTGTGTCCAGGGGAAGGGAGACGTGGTGGTGGCAGCATCCCGTGGAGCCTTGGGGGAAGCAGGAGCACAGCAGAGCCCAGGCCTGACCCCAGGCAGGGGGATCCCGCACCTCTTTTTGGGGCTGCCCCAATCCCAGAGACACACCACATGCAGCAGCTCCTGCAAACAGGTTTATTGACTGCTGTAGGCAGATGGGGTTTGGGGGGGCTGCGGGTGAGGGGATGGGGGCAGAAGCAGGCACCATTACCTTTGCCCTGGCTGACTGCTCCTCACTGCCTGCCACAGTCCCCTGTGCCCCTGAACCTCACCTCAGGGGAGCAAGATCTGTACCACCCCAGCAACCAGCTCGGGCTAAGCTACAGCAATCCCTGCTCCAGCCCCCTCTCACCACCTCCTCCCCAGCACCCAGCATGTGGTGCATGGGGCATGCTCAGGGTCCACCTTTCTAATCCTATGGGTCTTGCTTGGCCACACGCACTAACCATCCCCCCCACTTTTCCTCCCACCCCCACTATAGTCCATGGAGCTGCAGGGTGCTAAGGGAAGGAGGTGGCAGGGGGTGGCCGTGCAGGGACAAAGCGGAGTCCTCTGTGCCTCCATGGGCGAGCAGGCGTGCACGGTCCCTGGGCGCAGCAGCCTCAGAACACACCTGGGGAGACAAGCGGAGGGGGGGACACAACATGACTGGTGAAACCTGGTGCTGGGAGAGCGTGGCAGCCAGCTGGGATGGAGGGAAGAGGAAGGTCCTGGGAAGAAAGCCAAGGCACTGTACAGCAGAGCTACACCCATCTTCTGCACGGGAAGGGGGTGACAGCTAAGGGAAACAAGAGGGATCGTGCCCCTAGCAAAGGCAAGTACTCCTGTGGGGTGTGCAAGGAGTGGGAGAGAGCAGGCAGGGTTCTGCAGCAGGAGGGATGGAGAAGGTTAAGGCAGGAGCAAAGGCATCCACTAGACACAAGGCACCAAGCAATGTCCGCGCACCTCTCCTTGCAAGAAGGAGCACCCCACACCCTCCAAGTCTGAGAGGCCAAAACCTCTGCGTGGATGCGGAGAAGGCAGAGAGGGGAACTCCCCTGCCCACGTTCCACAAATCCTGGGCACAGAGCTGCCCATCCTACAGAGCCCCACCAAGGGCCTTTCTTTCAGCAACCAGGCTAATCTTGGCCGCCTCCCCCTCCCCCAGCACCAGGGCTCCCCCCCAGCCACCCTTCACCTTTGGAGGAGCAGGGAGGCAGGACTGACCCCCCATCCATTGCTATGGGAGACAGCCAAGCCATGGGCAGCCACCGCATCATGGGTCCTCGCTGCAGCCCTGGCACATCATTCTCTTTGCAATGCCCTACAGAGGGCCCTTTCCCAGGGGGGCACAGCCCCTTAACCCCATGTTCACAGCAGGTGGCAGTGCCACTGCTTCACCTTGGAGGCAGGTTTACGCTCTGGTGTTGTGGGGCTGCCAGCCCTGGGGGGCTCCCGCTCTGGCCCCTCCCGAGGCCTGTGGGCTGCACTGGTGGCACAGGGGCCAGGGCTGCCCCCTGGAGCCGGGTGAGCGCTGGGGCCGTGCCCACCTGCTTGGTGGTGCCCCGCAGCCTCCATCTCAGAGAGGCTGTAGGCCATGGCCAGCTGCAAGTCCTCATCCTCATCCTCGCTGTCTGTGTAGAGGCAGATGGGCGAGGAGCTCGGAGGCCGCTGTGGGGTAGGTGGTGGGGACGAAGGGGGGCGTGGGCTGGGGAAGGCTTGCTGCTCCCGCCGGCTCAACTCCAGCCCCAGCGCCATGTCGTCAGGGACACCTGCAGGGAAAGTGGAGTTAATGGCAAGGAATCCCAGTCCCCCCAGCCTCGGTGCCCCCTTCTGCTCAATGCAGCATAGTGCAGAGCTGGGTGCCCAGCTGAGTCTATGTGTCTGTTCCACAAAGCTTGCACAGGGCCCCAGGTATCCAAGCCCTAAGGTAGCCCACAGGGCTCCCACCAAGGAGGTTTCCAAAGGAGAGGTTGCTGAAGGTGGCAAGGCTTGGTGGCACCGCTTCTCACCATCGATGTGGATCGACTTCAGCTCCCCATCCTCCTCCACTTCCACCCGCTCCCGCCCATTCTCAATAATCCTGTAGGCAAACAGATGGGTGGGCAGAAAGACAGGCAGACGGTTAGCCTACAGCCAGGCTCTGTGGCAGAAGCAGCCCATGCTGATGAGGAGGTCCTCACCGCTTTGTGGTGATACGTCGACCATTAACAAAGGTGGTGGAGGTGGAGACGGAACGGAATCCCAGCCCTGCATCAGACCCCGAGCTGAAGGATGAGGTGAAGAAATCTGGAGAAGGGAACAATAAAGGAGCACCTGGGAGGCACGGGCATGTGGGATGGGAGGGTGGCAGGGATGAGCCCATCAGGCCATGGATGCTAAGCTCAGGCACTCCGTATTCCCTACCTGAGGATCCAGGGAAGGTGGAGAAGAAGTGTCCCCCTCCGTGGTGCCGGGGGCCAGCTCCCCGCAGCTCAGAGAAGGGCAGCATCTCATCTGGAAAGCAGGCAGCCCCCATCAGCATCAACCCCAGGGCAGGCTAATGATGCCCCATAACTGGCCCCTGGTCCCCTCCCACCCCACACGCACCAAAGAAGTCAGCAAAGGGATCTCGCCCGCCAAAGAAGTCCCGGAAAACATCGTGAGCGCTGCGGAAGGTGAAGGTGAATTCAGGAGCCCCAGCATCGGCTCTGGAGCCCCCTGGCCCTGCTGGAGGAAAGAGACACAGGGTTGAGAGGAGGCAGGAGCTCCAGTGTGTGCAGCTCCACAGCTGGGTCTCCATACAAGGCTGTACCCAGAGCCGCACTGACCCCTCACCCCATAGCCCTGGTCTGCCCATTCACCTGCCCCCATGAGGCCCTCTTTGCCATAGCGGTCGTAGACATCGCGCTTCTGCTCTGGAAGAAGAAGAGAGGGTGTCAGGGTCAGCTGCCCCAAGGGTGGGGGGTGCCCGTGACACAGCACCGTGGCCTCTTACTGTCTGACAGCACTTCATAGGCCTCAGCGATTTCCTTGAACTTCTGCTCGGCGTATTCCTTGTTGTCCGGGTTTTTGTCCGGGTGCCATTTCAGTGCTGCCTTCCTGTACCTGCGCAGAGGGACATTCAATGATGGGCACACGGCGGCCAGCCAAGCCTCGCTGAGCACTCACAGCTCCAGTCATGGCGGCAGCAGCTCTGAGCTCACTTCTCCCAGTCCCGAAATACAAGCCAGCCAGCACTGCCACAGCACCAATGCCCACACGTACAGCAGCACCTCACATGAAGTCTGGCAGCTCTGGCCACCAAATGGGCAAAAGACTTCCTTTCCCCGCCTCTGCAGCTTATTTCTACTCCTGTCCTCCTGCTTACAGACCCTCCCTTACATGCACCGCAGCCCTGCTCCCCCCTCGAGGCAGGACAAGTAGATTCATGGCGCGCACTCGCCCGGGCAGCGCTCCCGCCACCAGAGTCTAACAGATCCCGGGGCCGTGCCGGGCTGTGCTGGCCACAGGACACCTGGCACCCAGCCACGGCTGTATCGGGGTCACGCCCGGACTCTGCGCGCGTGCCACCGCCCAGCGCACAGCCACACGGCCGCACAGCCGCTTCCCTCCCGCTCCCTGCTTGACCCGGGTCAGGGCTCCGGGTCGTGGCGCAGCTCCCTAAGCCAGTTTCGCTCTCCATCCTCGGCCACCCCCGCGCCCTCCGAGGCACGGCCGGCGGGCACCGACTTACGCCTTCTTGATGTCGTCGGCGGTGGCGTTGCGGCTCACACCCAGCGCTTCGTAGTAGTCCACCATGACGCGCGGCCGTCCCGCGGGGTCGCTGGGGGAGGAATGGCGGTGTCAGGCGGCACGGGGTGCGAAGCAGCGCAGCGCTGAGCCCATCACTCCCCCCGCGGCCGCTCAGACCTCCCCGGCACCCGCAGACCGGTGGGCAGCATCCCGCTGCCGGCTCCGCGGGCGCTCCGCGTTACCTCTGCGCTCGGCCGTGCCCCGCCGGGTGCCGCCCGTCCCGCAGCGCAGCCCTCCCGAGCCGCAGCCGCCCCGCGAGTGCCGCGGCCCGCGATAAGGCGCTTATGCGCCCGCTCGGCCTTAGCGGATTAGCGGCTCGGGGCCGGCGCTGCCGTCACGCACCGCGGCCCCGACCCGCGGCCCGGTCCGCATCCGGTGACGGCACCGGAGGCCGCGACTCGCCCTGCCCCGCGCCGGGACGTTGACACGGCGCTCCGGCGCCCGCGCGGCTGCTGGAAGTTTCCGCGGCTCCCCCCGCCGCCGGGACCGGGCCGCCGGGAGGGGACGCGGCGGGACGCCGCTTCGCGGAAAGGGCCCGGCCCCGCGATCGCCCCGCGCGCCCCGGTCTGCCCGACGCGCCCCACGCCCACCTGGCAGCCGCAGCCGAGCGCACCCCGCCCACACCGGGCCGGCGAGCCGCGTCCCCCAGCCCGGGCCGCCGGGGGGCCTGGAGGCGGGTTCCGCGAGGTGACGAGCGCCGGCCGCGGCCAATCGCGGCGCCGCTACGGTGTGACGTCACGAGCCGGGCCGTGTCGGGGCCGGGTGGCGGCGAGCGCAGCGGGGCCGGGGCCGAGCTGGGGTGCGCGGTGCGCGGAGGGCCGGCCCGTGGCTCTGCGCCCAGTCAGCTGCGCTGCCCGGCCCTGCTGGAAAGGCCGCGATGCGGAGCGGCGACGGCAGCGGGGACAGCTGGGGTGACTCAGCGCTTTGCTGTCCCCGCGGGGGGGGGGGGGGTGGACGCGGGCGCCGGGTGCCGCTCCTCCTGCGGCCGGGGGACGGCCCGTGCGCCGCGCTGCCGCGGGCACCAGGGGGAGCCGCGGGACGGGGCAGAGAAGCCCTCTGCACGGTGACGGTTGTCGTCAACCCGGCCACCCCGCGCCTCGGGAGGTCCGCGTCAATCCGTGCTGCGGCGCACCGCGGCCTCTGCAGAGCGGTGCCCGACGCCGGGCCGGTCCCTGCCCCGCGCAGACTCAGCAGCGGGGGCCGGACGGGACTGTTAACGAGAGGGGATGTTTTAGAATCGCCCGACGAAAAGGGCATTTTGTAGCAACAAATTGGTTCAAGTTCATTCGGGAATGTGGAGGAAGGGGCGGCCCCGTAAATCGCGGAGTCCACGTGCCTTAGGAGTCCGGGGCCCCGGTACCCCGGCGGGTGACGGGAACCTCTGCATCTCCCTCCTCGGTAACTTTTCCCTCTGAAATCCACCGGCGCTTGGCCAGCCGCCAGCACCACCTTTCCGCTTTTAACAATGCTGCAGCAGTGCCCCGTGACTCCAGGCTGGTTCCTCCGTCCGACAGGCTGCTGGCACTACGCACAGCCCCCTTACGTCTCTGCAAATCCCCCTCCACGCGCACATCGCCCTCGCACACATCTGCCGAGTCATCGAGGACTCTGGTTCTCCCCAAAATCGGGGGACTTGATGAACGTGCAGGGCTGCGCTACTGGGGAGGGGAAGTGGGCTCTGACTCTTGCCCCACGGCTGCTGCCCCACGCCGGCACACTCCTCAGCATTGCATCAGAACTGACCGCAGCGCTGTTGCAACCCCCGACCACTTGTGACACAGGAAGGCCTGCAGGTCTGGGGACGGGCAATCAGCCGCTGGGTCCAAAGCCCCTCCAGAGCCCCCCCAGGAGCTCTAGCGTCAGCTGCCCAGAATTCAGTGCCACCAGTACCAGGAGTATGGGCGCAGCTCATCTGCCGACTGCCTGGGGGCACCTGCCTCACCCCAGAGCTCCGACGTGAAGTCATCGCCATCAGCCAGACGCGGTCTGTTCACTGCCGTGGGTGTGCAGCCGCTTTTCACAGGGTGTGAATGAAGAAGGGAGGTGACACCCGTCCGGCCCCTGAGCCAGGGCGGCTGCTCACCGAGGGCCGGTCCCGACTCGCCCCTGGTAGCCCGGCACGTCGCGGATGAGCACAGCTTCGTCCCTGGGAGCGCCTCCCTGCCCGGTGAGTCAGGGCTTAGGGCTGCAGCGAGGTCTGGAATTACCCTCATTGTTCCGCACGCAGCAGGCATTTCACAATTCTCTTCATTTCATCTGAACCAGCAATTACACGTCTTCAGCTCGGTTCCAGCGCAGAGAGCCCACAGAGCCGGGGCAGAGCTGGCACCAGGATACTGCTACAGGAGGAGGGTGGGGAGCAGGCAGAGCAGCATTTTGCTCCTTGCATCCCCACAGTACACAGGGCTCTGTCATCTGTGCTATCTCCAACCTGTTGTACTCTTTCTTCCATCAACAGTTCGTTTTTTCACCGCAGCTGTACAGCAGAATGGTATACAAACAGACACAGGAGCCTCCTGGAGAAGCTGCACATCCTTTCACACCCCAAGGTGCCAGCATCTTGTCGTACAAATCCTGCAAAGTCGGGGGCACTGCTCGCTGCCTGGCTCTGCCGCTAGTGCTCCAACCTGCACTGCAGAATGCTCGTGCTATAAACGCCCAGAACTGATTGGCACAAGGCAGCACGGAGACAGGAGACACCTAGCACCAACCCCTTGGCATCTGGGAGGTATTTCAGCCAGCACCTCTGCAAAGATTTTCATGGGGAAAGTGGACCCCACCACTCTGTTTCACACAAATTAGCTTACTGGGCTCAATTTTTGATGCCTCAGTGCTCCCAGCCTGCCTCCCACTCACGGACTGTGTGCATCAGCACAGGCTGTGCTATCTGCAGATCTCTGAGGTCACCCAAAGGACATTTATAGCACGGGACATGTAGGCATTTCTGGAGCCATACAGCCACCACGGCACCCTGTGGTCCAGCAGCACACCTAACCTGGGGATGTGCTGCACTGTAGAACCAGCAGCTTTTCCCACTGGCTCAGTGAGCCCCACCTTGCTCATTTAGCCCAGGCAACTCAGCTCTGGGTATGCTGATAGGTTCTGGCACAGCCTTCACAGCAGCACCACTGCCTTTAGTGAAGGTGACACTGGCCAGGTGACTTAGGGACAAAGAGGGGCCATTGTGAGAAGGTCATTTATGTTCAGCTTTCAGAGCAAGCTGAGGGATGACAGCAACTTTCAATGAAAACTCATTAGGTCAGAGGCTGGGGCAGAGGCAGGGCTGGCTCCACATCACAGTGGGTGCAGCAGGGTGTTTTAGGATGGACCAAGCATCGGTGAAGTCACAGCAAAGAGCCAATGAGCCCACTTCGAGGCAAAATTTCATCTGAACAAACGCACGCAAAATATATGCGGGTCTATGCAAATTTATGCAAATCAAATAGGCGGGGCCTCCCGCCCCGGAGCGGGGGTGCCTCCCCCGGTATAAGGCAGCAGCGGGGCCGGGCCGGCCGAGCGGAGCTACGGCGGTTCGGGCAGAGGAGGTGTGCGACAGCGGCAGCATGGTGAGTGCCCGGCGGACCCCCCCTCCGGGCCCCGGACAACACGGGAGGGGTCCCCCGGGGCGGGTGCGGCTACCGCGGTGTCCGTGCAGCCGGGGTCCTGCACGCCGTGTGCTCCCTGTCCATGCCGGACTGCAGCCTTTCCCAGGCTTCTGTGTTCGCTCTGACCTAAGCAGGGGGGCATCGGCGCGGGGAGGGCTGCGTTAAGGCTGAACCCGTCCCTGCTCCTCCTTCTGCACCCTTTTACGGCCACAGCGCCCGCAGAAGCATCGTACTTCTCTTGGCCGTCCCGAGGCGCTGACAGCAGCAGAGGTGCTGGCTGCGTGCTTCGGCTGCGGAGTTTCCTAGGGCTCACCGCTGGCTTTCGTGTTACGAAAGCTGGTGGAGCTGCTGGGGGCGGGGGGGGGGGCGGGAAGACAACGACGAGAGAGTGTCACTTTGCTCCTTGCTCCTCAGCTTCGGGAAGGATGGTGAGAGCCAGAAGTCCGTCTCTCTAAGGCTGCTAAGGGCTTGTTTCGCTATCCCTGTCCCTTCTGCCTGTGAGTGGCGCTGAGAGCACCCTGGGTGCTCCCCTCTTGTGGCTATCGGTGCTGCACCCAGCGCACAAAATGGCCCCACCGCCTTCCTGCCCGCTGACTCACAGCGGGGCACGGAGCGCTGGAAATCCGGTTGGGTTTGGATGCTCTGCCTGATGACACATCCCAGTCTTGGCAACAGCAGGACCAAGGCAGAGTTATTTTGGTGCTTGTCAGAAAGGCTGCAGCTGTGGGGTGTCTCACCTGGAGGGAGGGAAGCTGCAGGACGGATCTCAGCCCGTTGCTGGGGGACTCTCTTGCATCATCAGCTTTTGGTTCAGCTGCAGCATGCAGTGAATGCCTCCCACTCCAGAGCTAATTTAGGGAAGTGGAGCCTCCGAGCATGGCAACCATTCAGTGCTGCAAACTAGTCCCCAGTCAGGCTCTTGTTCTAAGTGCCATCACAACCACAACTCCCAGGGCATGGGCACTGCTCTGCCATCACAGCCCTGCTCTGAAAGTAGCAGATGGGCAGGGGCCATGCCAGCTGCTGTGGGGCTCAGCCTTCCAACTGTGTGTGTTCGTGAAATGAAGGAGATGCTCCCTGGGTGCTCCCAGGGTTGTTGGCTGTGGCAAAGCAGGGAATGTGCTACACCTGTGGCCCCCACCAAACTCTGATCCTGCTTCCCCCTCCCCAGCGTGAGTGCATCTCCGTCCACGTCGGCCAGGCCGGCGTCCAGATGGGCAACACCTGCTGGGAGCTGTACTGCCTGGAGCACGGCATCCAGCCCGACGGGCAGATGCCCAGTGACAAGACCATCGGTGGAGGGGACGACTCCTTCACCACCTTCTTCTGCGAGACCGGTGCCGGGAAGCACGTCCCACGGGCCATCTTTGTGGACCTGGAGCCCACTGTGATCGGTGAGTGCTG